CTGGGAGGGGGGGGGGGAGATGCGAATCATTCCTGTCTCCAGTGTTTCTTACCCTTTCCCCCCTGTTTGCAGTACTGCCCTTGCATCTTTCAATCAGGGGTCGCGTGGTCGGTCGTCTTGCTGTGGGTGGTAGACCCCTGCCACAGTATGTTTCAAATAAGTGCAACTCCCCATCCGACATTTGTAAAGGGTAGAGACAGCGGTGTGCCGCCCGTAGCCCGGCTGCATCTGATTGTGCTGGACGGTGACCTTCGGGCGAGCGGGGTCGAGACGCGTAGATCGAACGCCGGGCAGCTTTTCAGGTCAGGTAGTGTCTGGGTATGGTGTGAGATGATGATTTAGGGCAACTGAGGAAAACCGTCGCGGCAGTGGAAGTATACTTTTATTCTAGAAAAAAGCATTTTCGATGAAGTGCACCACATTGATACGGTTTTAGTTGAGACATACACTCCAAAACTTAGGGCTGTTGTAACTTGTAAAAAATTTTGTATTAATTGTTTTCCTAGTATTATAATAACGGTACCGAAAACGTTTAGTGCAGAAATTGGCACTTTTCAATCTGACAAAGATACATGAAACTTACAAAAATTCAAAGAACAAATCATACTGAGAATATGACGAAATGCACAATTTGTACCATACCGTGTATGCATACACTAACCAACACAACTTTATATATGATGAAATCAGCTCTTTCTGAATCTGGCACTGTAGCTTACGGTGATGATCACCGTAGCCTACGGCGAATGCGGGTGAATGTAATCATAGGTGACGGTGCCGTAGCCGACGTAGCTTACAGTGAAATTCACCGTAAGCTTTTAACAGTGTGCAGCCCTGATGGAAGTGGCGCACAGTGGTCACACGGAAAAACATTACAAAGCAGCAAACGGCAGCTACGGTGGATGTGACCGTAAGCTACAGTGCTGCAGGGGTTCACTGTAGCTTACGGCGAAAATCACCGGAAGGTTTTAAAAGTGCAGCCGCTCGAGGGACGCGTGTAGCTCCTCCCCTGCATCCCCACCCTCCCACAGCGTTGCATCTGCCCTCTCCTCCTCCTGCATGGCATTCTCGTCGGTCTGCCAGTCATTCGGTGCCTGATTCTGCGCATCCTGCACCGCGTCGAGCACCGCCTGCCAGTCCATGCCGCCCAGCGCCATGACCCGCTCGCTCGTCATGTGCCGGAGAAGTACAGGCCCCATTTGCTCCCCGGCACAACACTGCAGGGGAGTGCGGCCCCCTTCGGTCTTCCTGAACACGGTCAAGCGGTTCCACCTCGTGCTGTCGTGCTCCTCCAGCAGGTCCAGCTCCCGCTCGAGGAGGAGCTGCACTATCTGCAGTTGCCGGTCGTCGGTCGTCTCTCTAGTCACTGCCCGGTGCAGGGCCGTGTGCCCACGCCACCCTCTGTACTCCAGCAGTGCCCGGTGCTTTTGCCGCCTATCCGCATTGAGTGTGGTGGGGTCCGGCAGGAGGGCCTGCACCACCTCCAGGTGGCCCATCCGTGCCGCATCGTGCAGCGCGGTCAATGGTGCGCACAGTACACGCAGTCTGGCCCCCCGAGCCACCAGAAGCTGCACTAGGGCAACGTGATTCAGCCTCGCGGCCAGTCGGAGCATTGATGCGTCCCTTTTGGACTCGTTCACCTCGTAGAGTTCGAGGTTGATGGCCTCCGGCCAGCGGTCCAGCAGTTCGGCTGCAATAACAGCACTTCCCCTCTGCACGACTTCGCGCACAAAGTACGGGTTGCGCCACTCAACTCCGGGTATGTCGATGAGGGTGCGGAAGACCCCGCCATCCTCCCGTTGCACGGCACATTGGACGGCCTCCCACCAGCTCGCGCCCTGGCTGAGCAGCCACATCACCACTCCGCTGCACCTTGGGCCTCCCCCCGCGGCGAGGTACAGCGGCGTGTGCCCGTCTGCGTCGCTCGTCTCCATGTCGAGGCCCAGCTCCAGGAGCCGCTGCACGGCCTGCAGGTGGCCCTCTTGCGCCGCCTTGCACAGCGGTGGGTGCTTGCTCCCGCGTGCGTTCCACCGCTCCAGCCGCCCGGCTCCCTCCGTGCTCTCCCAGAGCAAGTTGATCATTGCCACGGACCCTGCTCTTGCTGCAGCAGTCACCGCGTTCTCGTGGCGGCTGTCCTCGGTAAACGGATCTGCGCCGCGGTCCAGCAGGAAGTTAACCATGTCGGTTTGGCTGAACATCACGGCAACGATGAGCATTGTGGAGCCGTCCGTCTCGAGACGCATGGCTACCGGACAGTCGTCCAGCAGTGCGGCGGCGATCGTAACATTGCCTCGCTTCGCCACCCACCACACAGCCTTGCGCGCTTCATCTGGACAGGAGTATAGCAGGTGGTCCTGTAGCGCACCACGGCTCTCGAGGACTTTCAGCAGGGTGGAGAACACCTCCCCGTGCTGTCGTCGGGCGGCCCAGCCCGCGGCGCTCCAGCACCTGTCGACCGAGGGCGGCGGGAGGAGGTCGAGGAAGAGCTGCACCGTGGCAGCGCACCCGCTGGCCGCCGCGTGGTCCAGGGGGCTCAGCTTGTCGGCGTCCAGCGCGTTCACATCCGCGCCGGCCTGCAGGAGGCTCTCGATCTCGTCGACATCGCCCGCTGACGCCGCTGCATGGAGAGCGAACCCCGGCTCTCCCATGACGTCCTGGAAACACAAAATACAGCGTCAGTCACACTGCGGTGGTGTTTTGCCCGGCCTCGGGCCTGGCCTGGACCCTGGGCCATGGATCCGGCTGTCGACCGACAATTCCATGTAGGGTTAGGCAGGGGAAAAATAAGACTTCACTGTATATCATTTGGCGATGAAACCACTACCAAATGTGGCAATGCCAACGAGTTGGCAATGGGACATTTTCAATACCACCACAGTGGCGATGAGGTCATTGCCAAAAACTGGCAATGGAAAATAGCCAAACGGAAAAACAGTGAAGACGATGAATACAATGCCCAAATTATTGGACTGTTGCTTACTTCCAAAATCTTGGCGATGGAGTTTCATTGCCAAAATATTGACGATGGAGTTTCATTGCCAAAATATTGGCAATGGAGTTTCATTGCCAAAATATTGGCGATGAAGTTTCATTGCCAAAATATTGGCAATGGAGTGCCAAATTTGGCGATGAAGTCATTGCAAAGATTTTGGCAATGCTCAAAATGCCAACAATGTGGGGATAATTTTCCATGTCTTTACTGTTTTTTCGTTTGGCTGTTTCCCATTGCCAGCTTTTGGCGATAGCCTCATTGCCACTGTGTTGGCAATGAGCGGCCCATCGCCACTGTAGTGGTAGTGAAAATGTCGAAACGAAGTTCATTGCCAAAAAGGCGCTTCATTGCCAACCCAGTGGCAATGAGGGCGTTTTCATCGTCAAGAAATGGCGATGATCATCGCCAAACAAAAAACAGTTTTCAAGAACTTTTGTTTTAGGTGCGCCGGACGCGAGGCGTCCGACGCACCTACACTTTCAATATCCCGCCGTGTCAGGGTCAGGCCAGACGCAAGGGCCAGCGCGTCGGAGCAAAACTGCATAGCTCAGCAGAATAGGGATGGACACACGGCGCAGCCGTGTGGAGCAGAGTGAGTTACGCTTCAGCCGCCGAGACTGTCGTACGAGGCAGGAAACCCGTATCTCCAGTAGAGTGTTTGTGAACCCACGGTCTTAAGACTGTTAACGCCGCAAATCTCAAACGTAAACTACTGTGAACTGTAAACCACCGATTGCATCAACTAAAATACAAGTGCTTTGGACTGCATTATATCAATTGCTCTTCATTCAAACTGACTGTTCATATTGAACGTTACATTTTCATTTTCCAACATTTGAATGGTTATCTGATAAGTCCTACCGTGTCTGGTCGATGAAACATTACCCTATAACCGTAATGAAATTAAAGATTTCCTGCAGCGCCGCAACCTTTGGTGTATGCAGAATACGAGATAGTATGTGTCTTTTCCCCAACACGCATTTCGGGGTAAAATGAGACTCGTGGACAAGACAGTGCTTACTCAATTGTTTGTCTTATTTTTTTCCCGCATTGGCTTCTTATGTACACTGTAAAACCAAGTGTCGACCATGTACACACAAGAAACAGTGTACCTGCAGGCACGTACCAAGTCTGTACCTACCAGGTCGACAGTTGCAAGTGTGTGCCTGGTTGCCTGGTAGGTACAAACGTAGGTAGGATGCAGGGCTGTCAAAATCAACTATCACTTTGAGGAACTAGGATGCTGCAAAGAGTCCAGGACGAGACTAGCTAGGGAGTTTGGGACAAGTTATTTCCCCTTGCAATGAGAAAATTAAATTTTTCCGCCTGCCAGGCACGCACTTACAACAGTCGACCAAGGCAGGCACACACTTGTAACAGTCGACCTGGTTGGTACACACTTGGTCGCGCGTGTCTGCAGGTACTGTACACTGTTCCTTGTGTGTACATGGTCGACACTTAGTTTTACAGTGTAAAGGCAATGGGACTGGTTCTCCTATACGCAAGTTCCTTATTTTTCCCCGTGCACTTATGGTTAGTCGTACTGACAGAATTATAATTCAGAGAAGTTGCATAGCTTTACGGAACCGCCAAAGTCCCAGCATTCCAACGAACTCGAACGTTTAATCTTTACTCCTAAGAATACGAATGCAGTACTGAAAGCAGGGCTGGCAAAATAAATTAAATTGAATTATATTCCCTCGATAATTTTGCCCTTATGAGGGCACAATCTAAATGGGCAGAATTAAAATGAGGACTTTAATTTGAAATAAAATCAGAAATTTGTAATGTTTAAAAATTTTTATAAGCTATTGCAAGATTTTGTATCACCGATGCAGATTGGTGTATCACAGTGCCTAGATACAGAAAACTGTAACAAATTTGATACAGTAATTTGAAATTTTTTCTAGAGCGAAGGTGAGGACAAGGATACTACAGGACAAGCAAATTTATGCTAGGCACACATTGTCTAGCTTTGGGATGGGTTTAGTGGATAGTGGCAAAAGAAAAATATTTGATGGAATAACTATTATTTTATTGAGCATAACGTCGTAAAGTATACTTGTTCCTCTAAAATTTTAATTGATAATGTGGTAAACTTGCGTAACTTCACTTAAGACATCTGATACTGCAAAGTTTCTCAAGCCAAGTGGCGTAAGTGGACTTATTGTGCCGTTTTTGCTTTTAAATGAACCTCTAATTAGGAGTTAGGACATATTTCACCACTATCTAGCTCCCAAACTATTCCTCTGACATGTTTTTTGATTTAAAAGTAAATTGTAGAGCTAGACCGGCTAAATATGAATACGTTAAAAAGTCACTTTGTGACATAAGTGGACTTACGACAGTCTTCCCATTTGCCACAGAACTATAGGGCGGTATGTGAAAGGCAGAAAATATTGTTTTTCACTCACCAGATTAAATTCGCTATGGGATCCGAAAAAGTGTCTCGGAAAACACAACGCACGCTGTGGTGCACGCACTGTGCCTTTGGTATGGCCGTAGTTTGGTCGGTGACGCGACGTACCGCTTTGTGTTGCACCTTCACACCTTCGCACCTTCGCGACGCGCGGTGGGTACCGTGACGGACCGGCGGCCGGCGACTGGCGTCGGCGTCCTGATCATCGCCGAATGGACTCTTATCAATCAGTTTATCTTATCTCATTGCGCGTGGTGGGGAAGGGGGGAGGGGTGGCCATTATACTTCTAACAGTGCCACTCCCCCGCCCTCCCCTCTTGTCGCCCCC